GGGGGGGGGGAGGGGGACTGGGGGAGTGCCTATAGTGGCAGCCAGAAGGGCTTAGCTGAGCTGCATACATTATTTTTCTTAAATAATTATAAAGACAGTGTTCCTGAGAAACAGTTCAGAAACTATTACTTGCATACACTTGGAGTATTTCTTTCTGGGCTCTTCACTCGGCCAGTGCATATGCATCACATACACCTACCTGGAAAACCAAGCTTTTCACAGAGCTGGCAGCTGGGAAGCTGGGAGGGGCAGATGGTTTGCAGAGAGGACAGGCTATGAGGCTGTGCTCAGAGAGGACTTTTGAAAGCCCACAGTAGGCACCTTCCTGAGGGGAGGGGAGCAGAGGGGAATTCTTCCTCCTCTGAAGCTGTTTGTCCAGTTTAGGTGAGGAAGGAGCGGGCAAAGCGGAGCAAGGCTGGGCCTGCAGGGAGCTGGCACCCCAGCAGTGTGCACCAGCATCCAAAAGTAACAGTTCCAAGTTCCTCCTGGGTAGATGGGGCTCGCTGGGGCTGCCTTCTCCCTGGGGCCTTAGGTATGAGAAGGGATTTGAATCCTTCCAGCCTCTGGAAGGGGCTGGCTCTTCCCGTGGATGCCTGAAAGCTCAGCAACTTACTGAGGGAGAGAGGGGGCAGGGAAGGGGGTTTCTGAGAGGGGCTTCCCTAAAGAGAGTCCTAGGCCCTCCACCAGTGAGGGGCCAGGCCAAGAGCCCAGATCAGGGTACACTCCAGCCCTAATGAGATGAGCCTGTCACCAGGGTACCGACAGGGTCATCCCTCCCCTGCCCAAAAACACACACAAGAAGAACTGAGGAGAAAAGAGAGGTCCTTGCCTTTATAGGACCCCTAGTGTCCGGCCTCACCCGGTCTCTAGTCCTGGCCCAGCCCCCTCTGATAACCTCGATCATCTGCTGTTAATTGTGGTAAAACACATAACATAAAACTTACCATTTTAACCCTTTTTGAATGCGCAGGTCAGTAGTGTTAAGTCCACCCACGTTGTTGTGCTAGCATCACCACCACCCATCTCCAGAACATTTTCCTCTTGCAAACCTAAAACTCTGTACCCATTAAACACTAATCCCCCTTCTCTCTCTACCCCCTCCACTGGCACCACCGTTCTACTTTCTATTCCTATGAATTTGACTTCTTTAGATACCTTATATAAGTGGAATAATACAGCATTTGCCTTTTTGTGTCTGGTCTATTTTACTCAGGACAATGTGCTTAAGGTTCATCCACGTTGTACAGGTGACATGCTGTCCTTCCTTTTTAAGGCCAAATAACATTCCATTGTATGTATATAACACATTTTATTTATCTCTTCATCTGTCAGTGGACACTTGGGTTGTTTCTACTTCTTGGCTGTTGTAAATAGCGCTTCTATGAACATGGGTGGACAGAGATCTCTTTGAGACCCTGCTTTCAACTCTTGGATATATACCCAGTAGTGAGATTGCTGGATCATGTGATAGATTCTACTTTATTGTTTTGAGGAGCCCCCGTACTATATTCCATAGTGATTGCACCATTTTACATTTCCACTAACAGTCATAAGCGTTCTAATTTCTCCAGATTCTTGCTAACATTTGTTCTTTTTTTTATTTATTTTTTATTTTTTTAATATATCTTTATTGATCTCAGAGAGAGGAAGGGAGAGGGCGAGGGAGAGACAGAAACAGCAATGATGAGAAAGTCATTGATCGTCTGCATCCCGCAACCCGGGCATGTCCCCTGACTAGGAATCGAACCCCGATTGCCTGGATCCCAGGTCGACGCTCAACCGCTGAGCCACGCCCGGCCGGGCAACATTTGTTCTTTTCTGAGGGTTTTGTTCTGTTTTTAATAGTAGCCATCCTAATCAGTATGAGGGATCTCTCACGTAAGTTCGGTTTGTAACCTTGCTCATCCTTAACTATAGAGTGTTGGTGCTGGAGTTGCATTTAGAGACCATTTCATCTGGCCCCTGAATTATACATTTTATAGGCAGGAGCCTGAGGTCCTTGTAACTTGTCTAAGGTCCCCTTAGTCTGTGCGGGGAGGATGTTGGAGAGACAGCGTGAGGCCCCTCCCTGGGGTGTCTTGTAAGAGACATAAGGCTGTCAAGTCCATACATTATAGCTCTTTGCCTCAACCTATGCACTTCTGCCTGGTCTCCACCCCCTCCTCCCTCTCCAAACCTAAAGGCTTTCCATTCTTAAAACAAATAAAGGAACCCACATTGCTGCCAAGGCCAGGGAGGGAGAAGCAATCCCAGCCCTTTTTACAAGTCTTCAGTTTCAATTGCAACTAAAGGAGCTTTCAGATAGCCAATCCTGGCTGCTACTTTTTCCTCTTAGCACTCATGAGTATAGTGCTCTCTGAACCTTAGTTTTCTCATTTACAAAATGGGCTTAAAAATAGCCCCTACCTCATTAGGTTGTTGATAGGATGAAATGGGAAAAAATGCATGTAGAGCAGTTAGCCCAGCATAGTCACTCTACTTAACAGATGTTAGCTGAAGGAACC